AGAAGAGTACATGAACTCAGAAATTTTCTTTTTTACTATCCACTTAGTTCTTTCCCTTTTATCTTGTTACGGGTGAGTTTTTAGAGCCCCATTTCAATGGGGTTTGGGGAAGGGCTTTAACTAACACTTTGCTACAAACTCCGGCACTAAAAAAAAACAATGCGCTTACGCCACTCCAGGTCGCAATCGCGGGCCAAAGTGTCTCGTAAAACAACACTCGCGAATAAAAAGGGCGGAATCTTATTAAAGTAAATATTTATGGCATTGCTATCAACCTATTGGACGAGGGTTCTGTCGCCTTGATAAATTGTCCTACCGCTTGCGGCCTAGCGGCCACTCTCCCCAATATTACTCTTACTACAAAGTTACTCTAAAAAAAATTCGATGCGTGTTTGATTTATGACATAATTTCCTTTCACTCCTTCTGATAAATTTCTTATAAGTTTTGGACACATTACAACCGTTTTTGCAGAGTAAATCTAGGCTATAACGATGTCTTCTGAAACGTTTGACCGAACTATTTAGTAAACTTCAGGAATTTAAAAGATGAGGATCTCGACTCAGAAAAGTGTCACCAGCTTACCTAGTTGTAAACAATAAGGCTGTCTCCGCGCAATCAGTCGACAAGAAACTTGATTCTTTCTATTCCATCCACAATAGAGAAAATGAAAACTAACCTTTTCTTTTTGAAACAGTTTCTCTCCTCCATTTTGTTCGTTTGCCGAAAGTTTACGATTCGAATCTTCCTCCGCGAATCCATTAGAATATGCTCACATATTTGTCTTGGCATCAAGAGTATATATTTATCAGAACATTTATATTGATATAGTGTTTGCACTCAAGACATGTCACTGTTACGTTTATTGTATCGACTTTGCATAATGTTGTTATTGTTTTAGATGTTACGTTTTCAATTGGTGCAGCATTTTAGGAAAATTCTTTACTTTATTGCGGGTAAGATTTCAATGTATATCACTCCGGATCACTGTTTTTGTTTACATATTTTGCTTCATTATAATTGTTTTTTTTTCTATATTTAGGTAAACTTATTATGTTTCAGTGTCTATACTAGCTGTTTTCACCTACGTAAATTATAGGATATAACATCCTGGAATGATGTAGCTTCTCATTAATGACTCTTGCTAAATCGGATCAGTAGTTACGGAGCCTATTCAATTCAAACAAAAACAAACAATCAAATCTTTCCTCTCTATAATAGTACGGTATTGATTATAATACGGAGGTATATTTTCGATTAAAAAGCCGCAAGTGCTTAATTAAAAATGAATGTTTACGAAACTTCCATAACAATTACAAGTATAATTAATAGAAGTGTCAAAACATAATCACAATTTATAAAGCCGACTTAATTTACTGCACAATAAGGGTCCATTCTAATTGATAGGTTTCTAATAAGCGTCGATCCAACGGTCGGCGATGGCGCGGACATTTCCCTTTTTCTAATAACTAAGTCTTTTCCTCGCTAATAACTAGTACGATTAACTTGTTATTATTAGCTGGACTCAGAAGCAATCCAGCAATTATTTACGTAGCAAACATTTCGTCGCGATGAGAGTTCGTTGATAAAAGTTTCGGCCAACTATTACGTCAGAAGGGACAATTCCCGAGCATCTCTTAATTATTGTGCTGCGTATTTTGTATTACAATAATGAAGTGAAACAATAACAAAAGTTGAGGACAACGAGGCGCTGCCGGCGGACAACTTTCGCTGCTCATTTGAGTACTTATACAGCTCACTCCTAATGAAAACTTGCTAGTTACAGCGGCAATAGAACATTACTTTTATTCGGCTCGAAACACGAGTAGCGGAGGTGAGTTTGGAATGGCGAAGGCACGAACCCGAGTAAGGTTGTAGCGTTATCGACGTCTACAATAAGTCGCGTTTTATACGGTTATTATAGCGCCATAAACGCCACCGGCCGGTGTTTCATACAGTGCCAGGGCAGATTATACTGCCTATGGCCCCGATTCGGGGGTTAGGGCGGCGGGCGGCCGCCCACTGTCAGCCCCACGTGCCGCCCGACAGATGTGTCGAGATATCCGATATCGGGAGACACATTCATAATCTTCGTCTCCAACCTCCCAGTTCTTATATTAAAATAACGAACGTCGCCATCACAGGTGCGAACTCGATGTGAATTAATAAAAAAAGGGCGAGGCCTTTCGGCTTAGGTAACGTTGCGAACTTTTTGAATTATGAACGGAAATTCGCAATGACATTTTAAAACCGAATTGTTTAAGCTCAATATTATAGACTGAATTCAAAGAAAGTTTCTTTTGGTTTTGACATACTCTCAAAATATAATAAATTTTCTTTACTTTAGTGGATTATTTAACTTGAACTTAATATAAAGAGAGAAGGTGTAGGGGAAAAAATATAAATAAATCATTAAAACCATTTCAATTATTTATTTATAAGAGTAAATAAAGTCAAGTCTTTTCCAAATCACCTGTAAGCTTCCGGATTTAATTAAAGTATTTCCATTTGAAAATAAAGGTACCCTCCCACTCTAATTGAAGCCGGAGAAAAATAAAGTTAATTCCTGGAGTAACGCTAGAGAACTTTCATTAGCGCTTCACAGCTACAATTGCGAGTTCAAATAATTATGTTTACGGAATCCTTTTCTTGCGCGGAGATTATTTATTTTCTCCATTGTTACGAGAAGTGACGCGGACGAATTTCACGAAAATACCCCATTTATCCTGCACACAAAGGCAGCGCGGTACCCAAAACTTTTTTACGTGGTCAGTGACAATGCTGTTCCTCTTTTCTCTTAGAGTTTCATTTGTAGCCCATTGTAGTTCGCGTGTAGGGCTAACATAACGTTCGGTTCGGATGATTTATGAATTTGTTTATATGAATTTATAAACAATTTAGGTAATGACGTCTAGTCACGCTGGGAATCATCTCATTATAACATTGTGAAAATTATAATACTCTCTGGAACATTTTAAAACATTTCGTAAATTTAAGAGATTCAAACGAATAATATATAAAAATATATATAATTTATACCGAAGTTAAAAACAATGTTTGTAGTATACTACACCGTTTTTTATACTTTTGTATTTTTCCACAGTACTCCATACATCGTCAAAAGAAAGTAATTTAGGTTTATATTTTACAAACAATGTCACTCACAATAAAACTATAACTTTCCCGAAACTGTGCTCTAATAAAATGTTCTGCAGTACTTAGCAAATAATAGTTGCTAATCCAACGACCGACATAGAAAACAAAGTTACAAAACCATTACCTGCTCTTTCCTTGAACTTTTTATAGTTCGCTGTTATTTCTTTTTGTCCCTGCCGAGTTGTAGCGCGAATGTGTCTAATGTTCCGCGCCGCCCGGTGTCACCACATCCTGCCATTTCGGGATACGTTCAGTGAGCGGGCTTTATTCAGTTTCAGACCCGCATAAATTACATACGGAATGATCTGCCCGACACACAACTACATAATATTTGGCCGCCACGCCCTCGCATCTCTATCCCACTCATAATCTAAACATCAGAACCATGCTTTATCCACTTTCGGACGACTTTCCAAACACAATGTTTTATATAAGTGGGGATATTGTTTCCAATCGTTTTTATTGGGAAAGCAATAACAGAGAAACGATTCCTGTGATAAACCGCACCGACCTTATAACGCATAATATAGAAAATACGGTCATCTACAAAACTCCACTCAACCCTTATATTTGCCTTTTCGGAGTGTTACTATCTTTGACTTGATTCGTACGCAAAGCCAGCCGGCCGCGCGTGAAATACCAAGTACGTCCTAGTTTCGGGAACGTTGTTTGTTTAGGCGAGCCGATGCCGCGAAAGGTGATGGACTAAATATTAACAAAAAGCCATCGCATGCCGGATTATAAATATCAGACGTGAAGGGTGTAACATTTGCGCCGGGGTTATTGATTGAGAGCCGCGGGGGTAGTTAAACATTCTTTGTTTTAAGGATGAGTCATCATGTTCTGGAAGTTTTGACAGCGATATTGATCTTCGCGTGGCACGTGCCCATATCAACACGTGGACATGGGATGAGCTAAAAGTTTTGAGCGGAACAAGGGTGTATGTGTCAGTGTCAGTATAATCAAGGTCCGCGGCGCCTGCTGTTTGCGGAGTGAGCGCTAATGCTATTTGCCGTTGAGGGAGAGCGCGGACGTCACGTGTGTGTATCTTAATCGTTATACGGAACACGCTTGCCCGTCGCCTTGTTTTGTTTGTCACTTTAGCTGGGAACTTTGTCGGCGGCAGGTGATTACGTGACTCGACGAAACGGGGCCACGTACGAAGTTCAGGGTTCTCACCGTGTGACAGATTGTGTGCTTAGGATACATTGTATTAATTTAATCAGAAGCTTTGTCCAGAATCGAAACATGTTTTACTATCCTATTTGGAAATTCGAATGGAACATGGAACATTTGATTCGTCGATTTAAATGGTTTAGAATTTTTTTACCTGTTTAGAAAGTCATTGTTGATTTTAGATAGTAACTATACATTTTAATAAACATTATTAGAAAAGACGGTATCTGTCCGTTCCATGGCCGTATAATATCTGATAGGTGTTGTCGAAACCTGATTGACGTTCCTTTTGAAATTAACTCGAAACGAAAATTGGCTTTAATTAAAACGATATCAAAGATTTTTCGATCGATGTTGATCTAAAAGGCAGACAGTGGAAAAAACTTTTTGAACACGTTAACAAATCTTTTTTGTTTATGGTTATTGTTTACAATAACAATAAATGTGCTCCAACAAATCTCATCGCTCATTATCGTGTTGAAAAGTAACGTACTATTGTACGAGCTCATAAAACTTGACGAACAATTTAGTAGATTTTTAATTGTAATTGACGACAATTACAAAGCGACCGTCGACAAATTCTCTGATATCATGCAACGTGTACGTCACCGTGACATGTCACTGTATTCAAATGTAGCCGTTAGAGTAACACTGATTTATTTTGTTCCAGGTTTCGGTTTCGTCACGTTTCAAAGTGAAGACATAGTAGATAAAGTGTGCGAAATACATTTTCACGAAATCAACAACAAAATGGTGAGTGCTAATTATATTTTGTAAATTTATTTCTTTTGATTACTTGAGGCAATATATCTAATGTCTTTTTTACAAATAACTTAGAGTAGCTCGGTGGCGTAGTGAGTAGCTCGGTGGCGTAGTGAATAAGCGCCGCGGCCCGCGATCGTTGTCGTTAAGCAACTTTCGCAAGGGTCGGTCACGGGATGGGTGACCAAAAAATTATTATCTCGAGCTACTCCGTGCTTCGGAAGGCACGTTAAGCCGTTGGTCCCGGCTGCATTTGCAGTCGTTAATACCCTCCAATCCGCATTGGGCCAGCGTGGAGGGTCATGGCCCATCCTCCTTAACCATCCATAAGGAAGGCCTGAGCCCCTGCAGTGGGGACGTAAAAGGGCTGGTGATGAATTGCATTATAAAAACATGCAAGTTTAATAAATTGCTTTGACATATTGAATTAAAATATCTATTGTATTTTCGATGTGAGATTATTATTAAATCACTGCTTGGTGGTGTTTTGAAGGACATATGCGAAAATTATAATGAAGAATTCAAGAAAAGGAACTAATGTTAACGCATTTTTGAAAGCTCATACTTGGAATTTGGCTGTAGGACTTAGTCAAAATAAATATATCAATCATATACATTTTAACTCGGAAAATGTAATTCAGACAGTTTAGTTATCTTAACAGACGGTCAGTTGCACAAACGTCCATTAAGGTTTAATGATACTTTTAAGCTCTAATGAATGTCAAATTTGTATGGGTAACGTCCCTTTAAACCAAATAATTTAATGGACGTTTGTGCAACCAGCTGATTGTATTACAAACGTCCATTAAAATTGACGTTATTAGCGACATTATCGCAAAAATATTTCAAATTTATAACATTCATTAAAGCTGAAAATAGTTTAAACCACAATGTATGTACGTTTCTGCACCTGAAAGCTGTGACTAGTTTACAAGTAATTAAGTAGATAAGTAGATTTTCAACTTAATTTTAAGTGATTAAGTACCTAAAATTTGTTTAAAGCGATACTACACACAAATAAATAGTAAATAAAAATTTAGGTAACTACTGAATTTAAAATATGAATTTATTAAGAACTTAAATGAATTTGAAATTAAAATAGTAGATTTTAATTTCTTAATTACGTGTAAACCAGCCATTAGACTATAAAATTTAAATGAACTATATTACGTAAACATAATACTCGGCTTAAAAAAGGTTGTTTACTAGTATATATAGCAACCCAATCTTCTTGTTGTCCGTCAAATATCAATTAGGAGAAGGAGAGTTGGCAACGGTCCAAACAGAGCCAATAAAATGCTACTAAAGGCCACTTTTGCTCTGTTTAGATTTCCTCCGTCAGAGAGCGTGAACGCAACTAACCATGTGAGACAGATTTGCAATGGTACTTGTATTCTGACTTCTTTGATTTTCTCCTAATTAATTTAATAAAAACTAGCTCCAGCGACCTCGTTCACATAATTTATGGCCTTTGATATAACTTTCCGTGGGTGAATGATTTTTCTAAATCAGTTTATTAGTTTTGAAGATTATTCAATACATAAAATCAAAGCTTTCCTCTTTCTAATAATAGTAAAAGTAAAACTCTAATTTCTTAAACAATATTTGCCTTGATTACACTTATAATAAATAGATTTTTATTTTTGTTTTTATTGTACAACAACTTTCTAGTTTACTATTTCTCGTGATATAATTCACGTTTACTACAATATTTTAATTAACACCACCTCCCTTATCTTTATTACTGTTACTATAACAGGACAGAAATCACACTACTTATGATATTATATTAAGTCAGAACACTTTCCGTGTGCGCGTTCCCTTCCAGATATAAATATTTATAAAGTACGAACCCCGGCTTACATTTATGTAACAGTAGAGAAGAAATGTCGAGCAATATAATTAAATGATTTCCATTTGTCCCACTGTGAGCCAGTCACCCTTTACAAGACCATTACAATCATGTACCGCCATAAACCTTACCCCGATTAACTAGTAACTCGCTACACGCACCCGACCACTGTCTGCGAGCTTTATTTTAGCTAAAATTCCTGGACATAATCAAATTAATAGAGGCCATCCACGCATCATATCATAACGCCAATAAAAATAATAACATCACATTCACCACTGAATAGTAATGTCCACACTAAACTGTTCGCTTTGTTTATCAAAGTTTACTCAAGCATTAGAAATGTGGAGTCGTATACGTTTGAATTAAATGCCACCCCGGGGGAGTCACTCGAGAAATGTTTAAATTAAAATAGAAAATTTCTGAGGGAAGGTATATCGAACGAGAATGCTCAGCCGCGCATATACGTATTATCGAGCACACATGTTGCAGAGGTAAACCCCACGAGTCGTGCCCTCGCTTGAACATCGATGTCCCCTCTGTAATTAGCACTAGTGATTTCTGAATATCGCGATGTTATGTAATAAATTGTAATATTGATACCGACATCGGCTTAATGCTTTCACATCTAAATGTTGATTTCAAGTTTCAATCTAGCACGTTTCTATGTAATTATGGTCCTCATGGCACCTTCATACTTTTGCTCTCACAATGGCTCGCAAATTGTGCTGGATTTGACTTTTAAAAATCCGTGCAGTGGCGGTGTACGCACGCCTGTACGAACCATTACCTACATTGTCTCTGCCGTTGAAGTTCCCAACGCCATTATCATTCTCCCGACTGAAAAGACGGGAGCAGATACCCCTCCGTTGCCGACACCGATGCATATTCTTGATTATTAATGCTCGTTTTTTGTCTCGCTCTATTATCCCGCGAGTAATGGCTGCACGAAACTCGCGGCATGTGTCGAGCGAAATCGCAAGGGTGATGCTCGCCATAAGTGGAACAAACAACGAACAAAGACATCAAACAAATGGGTAGTGTTTTAGAGTAATTACAGCTTGCTTACGTGCGAAACGGGAGATGTGCTCGAACCGCTACCGTAATGTCTGCGGCGTTAGCGACGGGAAACTAATCGCTTATTATTCTGGCCCTTTTTTGTTGCGTGTCGACGCAAATGACCAATGTTACTGGTAGACTTTTTACTTTTCGTGAATGTAAAATCGCAGTTACAAAATAAATGAAACGATGTTTGATAAATGCCACTAAGACACTTAAACGAGTATGAGCGTTACGATGATCGGATATACACTCAGTGCGTGACTCGTAAACAAATATAGCCATTAAAAATTCGCCTCGACATATCATAAACATATCTGATAGTTATATTTACGTAAGCAATAAAGAAAACAGAGGCGTCACGTCAGCGCCGACGTTTACGCTACGAGTAGCTGCCCTCGTAAATTTAATATATTGTCATCTCTTATATTAAAATGGTCGTTAAGCTAATAGCTGCTCCGCCTTCCCGCACGAGAGTGATAGGGTGAAATCGTGAATATTTTTGATGGTAAAAAAAAATTCGTTCACTTTGACACGGCGTCGTGATAAATTATCAAGAATTTATAATTAACATATCATCGTTGAACCTATCGCGCTCTCTTGCTGCCTTCAGTCACGTCGTCATCTAATATTTAAGGTTTAATATTGAAGGTTTAAGATTGATCGATCCATACCGTCTATATACTCTTTGGTGAATTAATTCCGAGTGGCATTACAATTTGAAGTATTACAATAAGGCAATTCGTTAAAATGACATATGAACAGGAAAGATACACGCTGTTACATAAATGTATAGCTCCATTAAAGCGCTCACAGTAAATTCTCGTCACTACATTACATCTTTACACATTACCACCCTAATTGCTTCCGCTTACCATGAATTTTAACAACAAAGCAACGACGGCTCCACAAAATGGGTAAAATATAGCGTAGTTTAGATTTCACCTTCTAACATCAATTTCTATTTGCTGGATTTAAGCGGCCCTGGGACATATACACCTGCGTTTCTTTATGGGGTCACACCTGTTAAAATTGTCTCGGGTAACAACAAACCAACATAGAATTTATGTGCGTGACGCTGAAAGTTCAGAATCCAACACACCCGTTTTGAATGAAGGGAAACAATTTGATGTAAATACAGATGAGTACAACCTATGACGTATCACTACGATTTGTGAAGGTTTCAAATATTAATTGGAATAAACCAATTAGTCTTTTGTTTTTGTGTATATTGCATTGAATGACTGAATAACATTAAGTTTATTTTAGATAGTTAAAAATGTACGATAAGCATTATGATCCATGGATATCTGACATCCCTATTAATTCGAATCAAATGATCAACAACTCATTTGTGTTTAAATCTCGATTAATTTATCTTATAACTTTTACGCGTTACAATAGGGTGACGTATACATTTTTATCATTGGATCCCAAAAGTTCCTTGAATGAAGCAACTGTTACGTCTAGAGCGACGTGGAATTGCCTGGGTTTTATTTTTCGAGCGGCGCATTACGCTTTATTGGACGTTTAACTAATGGTTTTCCAAAACAACTTGACAGCAGGACTCTATGATTCATACGTAAGGCACGCACAGGAAATTTTAATACCTGCAATGTTCTACCTAATCTGAGTACATAATCAAATACATCTACAGATTCTGTAGTATAACAGATTAATTTTATCAGAATTATTTCATCATTATAATCACCAGCACCCACCACGCAGGCCCAGTACGGATTGATGGGTGTTCGACTGATGCAGTCAGTACTAACTGCTTTGCCTTGCAAAGCACGGAGTATCTCGAGATAAAAAAATGGACACCCATCCTATGGCCGGCCTTAGCAAAAGTTACTTCACTTCCGAAAAATCTAAGCATTGTGCCCATTAAGATTATTGAGCTCAAGGGAGAGTTATTTATTTTTTAAAATATAAGCATAGAAAGTAAACAGCTTCGAAACTTTAATAAGACGGAAGGTTTTCAATCATCCAAATATAAGTCAATATAGAAAATAATGTCTTAAGAGTGTATACTTCGTTAACTTAAAATATCGAATCTAAGATTAGACGAGAAATTCGC